AAAAAAAAAATGAAATTTGCAGCGACAGTTCCAAATAAAGAATATGGAGGCTCTTGGAAACCAACGCCAGGTCAAATGTCAGAGATTTTGCTGGAACGCTCCTGTTCATCAATTTGCCAGGATCCTGAGATGCATGCAACTGCACCACTTATCTGGGCAGCTCTTCGGATGGCTTTTGTCTCACGACATTACTCAATTATTTGGGATATCCACTGGCTGTCGGTAATGCCATCAACATGTTTTGCATGCTGGATCTCGTTTTACCTCATCCGTTCCCAGAAACCACATGATATCTATTTATAAACTAATAATGAAAAAAAATGAAAAAAATTAATGAAAAATGAAAAAACTGAAAAATAACTTGACTCAAAAAAAAATAATAACTTACTCGAAACACTTGATTTCATGATCTGGTCCCCTAATCCTGAACTTGTCAACGCTTCAACAACACGTAAGTGTATAAATCACAGTTCTACTCTATTAGTAAATCAAACCACCCTCCTTTTTCGCTCCAAGTGAGGGGTGAAGGTACTCGGAAAGCAGACGAGTGGTAGCAAATGTCAATAGTAATCACCTGCTGGCAAGGTTGTCGACGGCTTAGCTTAGAAAACTTTCCCTTCTTTTACGCCTTGATATCAAACACCGTAAGAAAAACACTAGTGTAAATGCTAGTGTCAAATTTTTCCGCCGCGCTCCCCCTCTTTTCCCAGTCCTCAATAGCCCCTTTCACAATCAACGATACTACTACTACAACAACAACCATGTCTGATGCAGGGGTAGATCGAAGATTCTAAACGTTGTTCGGGTGGTTTTCAACAAACTGAATTTTTAAACTCTCCAAATCTTTCTTAATTTTTTTTTTTTTTGCAGAGTTAGGTCTAGTACCCCACTCATCTTCAGAATGATACTAAGCAATTCTCAAAACAGTTTACCAACAATGGCCTTGGCAACAAGTGACTGCCATCGATTCGGGTTAATTTCGACTGGTTTTGCCTTTAGGAAAGGAAGTTCATAAGAAGAGGTTTGATTTTCGACCTGACCTCAATCTTAAAGCAGCGATAAAATTAAAAAATTACTTGAACTGTTAGTATGGAAACCACGGACGAAAGCTTCTCGGTGACAAGCGCAAGCACCAACTGTTCATCAGCATCACGGCGTACTCGAACATCTACAGTGCCAGCCATTGTGGTGAAATCGAGCTGCCAGAAATGCGCAGACCGTAGTTCCAGAACTCCATCGATTGTCGATGCTTCCGAAATACACCTAAATTTTCCCGACTGGCATTTTGTCCAAATTCGCTTATTACACAATATTTAGGATGGCCCTTTATTTCCGACTCTAATATTTAATTATTTCATTTCTACAGCTTTTTTACGTTTCTTCAGGATTTACATCCAATTTTTCACTGATCTCTTTTGAAGCAAGTTTTACAGCACCACCACCATTTAAATCTGCAGGGTCGCACGTAGGCAGAAGACATTATTCTAAAACTTCAGATCCCTGGCTTTTGTGAGTCCTGAGATAAATTTTCCTGCCAAAACTTGCATTGGGCCGTGAGTAGCACTGAGGCGTACCTGAAAGCCGAATTTAAACTTGCGGGTTTGCAGATGAACAAGTAACGTTCTACTAAAATTTCAGCCTCCTAAGTTTTGTGGCTCCCAAGTTGAAAGTGTGGAACAAAGTGCGCGCGCACGCACACACAAACACACACACACGCACACACACACAAACAGACACACACACATATACACATACACGCACACACACACGCACACACACACATACACACACAAACAGACACAGACCCACACACATACAGACACACACACGCACACACTTTGTGCGTGTGCGTGTCTGTATGTGTGTGTGTCTGTGTCTGTGACGCTTACCTGTCTACACACGCACACACACACATACACACTCACACAAACGCACATACACAAACACACACACAAGAGCATGACAATATGCGTTCTGTGCTGCTATTACACAGCGAAAACTCTTGAAAATGGGTAGTACAAAGTTAAAAAATTGGCCAACGCACGGGCTGCCCGTGCGAAGATGCGTTTTTTGCAGAGTTCCCCGCA